TTTTTTTTTTTTCTTTTGTGGTTTTCTTTTTCTTTTTTTTCCCCCTGGGACTCGTTCAGTTACTCGTGTGGTTTAGGCCATTCTGGAGCCTTTGCTCTCTCGGTGCTGCAGTGGGTTGAGCATCCATGGAGAGCTGTAGTGGTGTTACCTGAAATAATTTGGTGCTTCCTGGGCCCCTCCTGTCCTATAACGTCTTGATCAGGCTGCTGAGGGATGCTACCCCAAGTTGAGTGTATTGCTACCAAAAAAAAAAAAAAAAAAAAAAAAAAAACAAAAAAAAGTTTTCAAGATAAAAATTCACATCATCCCCAGGCAGGTGGTTGTTTTGCTCGTGTAGGAGCTGTCTAAATTACAGATGGAGGAAAGGTAGCCAGGGCTCTCCTTGGTTATTTGACCTGTGCTCACCTGGGGGACAGTCCTTCCAGAAACCAAATCCTGAGTCCCTGCAATGGGTCCTGACTCTGCCCTGGTGTCTTGCAGGGAAGGAAGCCCAGAAAGGGCCTCTGCTCTTTGATGATCTCCCACCAGCCAGCAGTGCTGACTCAGGTATGGGTTCTCTGTTACTGCCATTAGTTTGGCTTCCTGTGTTTTCATCAGCATCTCGAGATGAAAGTTGTGTAACCCCTTTCCTTTGTTAGACAGGATAAAGACTGTTGGGTTATCAGCATGGCAGCTGCTTTCCTCTTCTTGTGGTTTCTTTATGTTATAGGTGTCTCACATATATTCCATAATACATTCCCTTTAAATATTCCCTGAAACAAATGTAAGGCCTGAGTCTGCCACTACCATCCAGTAACAGAAGCTGAAATTTGGATCTCTTTGATAAACTGGCGTTTTATCATTTCTGCACCTCAGAAGGGGCTTACACAGGGCATTAGTCCCTCAAAGGGACAAAGGTATTTAGTTGCCTTTTTTCTTGTGCTTCAGGAAAAGGAGGCTCTTTACTTTTTGATGATCTTCCTCCAGCCAGCAGCGGTGACACAGGTATGGAGCAGCATCAGCTCACCAAGCCTCTGCTGACCTGCCCTTCTCAGGAAAGCCCAGCGATGTAACCTGTTGTGTTGGAGACACGGCAAGCTAACCTGGTGGCAGGGTTTGCTGGTGCTGGTTGTGGTGATCTGTTTGTGCCCTGACTGTTTAAATTTGGATTCTGAATCTTTAAACTTAGGTCTGTTCCCAGAAGTACATCCCTTGGATGTCTTTTGTGGCCCTCTGTCGTCCGTGCCTGAAAGCTCTCTGCTTTGGGAGTGAAAGTACGCTTGTGCTTGCTGCGAGCCAAGGCAGTGCTGGGCCCGTGCTGCCGCTGTCCTGGCTTCTGTCACTTCTGCTGTGGGCACAGGCTGCCTTCTCCTTCCTCGCTGTAAATGTCTTCGAAACCAGACTGCTGGGCTGGCAAGGCTTTCTGCAGGCAGCCAAGCGTTTGCTATCACCTGGGAGTAGGTGACATAGTTCATTCTACCATATGAGAGTAAATCTCCTGAAGGAAAAGGCTAGGGTTCTGATGTCATGGGAATCATATTTTGCTTGCTAGCTTTGGTTTGTAACCTGTCCTCTGAAGGCTCCAACTAATAGGCATGTTCAGAGTAATAAAACACACTTATTTGCATTGTTGTGGGCACAATTTATAGACACAACTAACAGTAAATAAATGAATTGGAAGTGTTCCAACCTGAAACGTTGATTTCCTGAGCAGTTAACTGCAAAAAAGCTGATAGCTAAGAAACAAGCTGCGGGTTGGTGGGAAGAATCAACAGCCTGCCAGCCACGCACAACTGCAGTGCGCCTGAGTAGGGTCACACAACATAAAGTGTTCAAATTGGTGCTCACTGGGTTAGGCAGTGGTGTGTGCCATGGGTTGTACATGCTGAGTGAAGTTGTGTGTGTGGGTGTTTGTGGTCACTTAAGTGTGTTTTGTTCAGTGATAACTCTGGTCACTTCATGCTGTGTGACTGCGAGCCTGCGCTCCTGAGAGTGCTTCGGTGTAAAAGGACTTGTTGCTGAATTCATGTGAGTAAAACAGCTGGAAAACTTCAGCTGCCTGCAATTTGCTTTCTTTCAGCCTCCAGTGCTACTGAGCAGGTCTCATCAGCAGGGAGCCATGGGAAAGGGGAGAAGAGAAAGTCCTTGGAGGAGGAAGAGAAGAATGGCGGGGAAGAACTTGTGGAAAAGAAAGTTTGTAAAGGTTTTCAGACAGTTTGAAAACGAATGTACTTGATTTGTACTTTTGACATTGGGCTGAGTAAGTCAAGACCAAAGCTAAGCTTTGGTTCTTCAGTCCACTTGCATTTTCAGCCTCTCATAGGGAACAAGCTGCTGCGGCAGTCTGTGGAAGCCCCTCGAGCTCCCTGACACTCTGCTTCCCTCATGTGGGCCTTCTT